GGAGAAAAGGCCTGCGTGGACCGCAGGGAAGGCTGGGCTACCAACATATGTATATACAGTATATATATTATATATATTATACACATACTGATTCACAACTTATTTTCCTATGGATTTTGTTGATTAAAGCTGTGTTGACTTTGCTGTGCAAGCGGACGCGCTGCTGTAGAGCGTAGTCTCATTTGTCACTGGTCTTCTGTGTCAGTTCTTTCGTGCGGCTGGTTTGGCTCGCTTTCGCTTGCAGAGTGTCTGACCGCAGCTACAGCGAAAGGCGCAGTCAGAGCTCTGAATTCTGATGTAAGGTAGCTGGTTTCATACAATGTAGCAGGCACCGAAAAAGCATGAATGAAGTTGTTGAGTCATGAGGATTTTGGCTCCTGCAGGCAATGGCGCACGTGACTTTCATTGCTCGGAGTATCGATGGCTGCTGTGCTGGAAGGTTTTTGCTTTTACTGCCCAGCACATTGGGAAATGGAGCAGGACGAGTTTCGACTCAGACCATCTGAGACTACTAATACTAATTGTGAGAGGCTCGGGAATGGCCGTCCTTGGATTGTTGGATTATTCATGCCGAGGCCTTATCCTTGTTGAGACTTGGGATGACTCCAACAAGGCCATGATCCTGCTGAGATGCCCATGAAACCTGTGGGACCACTGTGACGACTGCAGGTCTCCAAGCAGGTCAAGGATCAGGCCAAGGCTCTTTTGCGGAAGTTACACAACATGCCTCCGAGATGCTCAGTAGAAGGAGCGCCTTCACAAATTCACCCGAAGATATTCCAGACTGTTTTGGTTTGGAGAAGCAGTGGCAAGTCCTGAACTTGCAATGCGCATTCTTGCAGGAGCCGGGGAGTTTGTGTTTCACTACACCATGGACAATGGAACCTTGGCTTCAAGATCGCTCAGCACACCCAGGGATACCTGCCAACCTTCCCCCAAAAACATTTTTTTGGAGATGTATTGCTTCATGCCGCAAGAGAGCAGGGTGTCAGGTGCTTCCAGCTTGTACTGGCTATTGTTGAAGTTTGTAGCCAAGGTGTATGTTACATGGCTTTGTTTGACAAGAGAGTCTTGGTGGCATTGGCGATAAAAGAAGACATGCACCTGGGCCACGAGCTCGACGGACGGCCCACTTCTTCAGGCTACCCGAAGAACTTGGCGTTTTGCTTTCTTGAGGCCATGGGCAAAAGTCTTTTTTTTTCTATAAATCTAGGAACCAAAAGAAAAGTGCGTGAGCTGTCCTGCGTCCTACCTAGGGGCGTCCTTACTACCTTACTTGATTCAATTAGGTAGGTAGTCTCTACTTAATTAAATAGTAGGGGGGCAGGCCACAGCCTAAAGATGACAAAAATAAGAAATACACTTGTGATCGGTTGGCGCTGAAACAGGACATCCACCAGCTCTTTCAGCAGGAGCTGCAGAGGGAGTTTGGCACAGGAGTGAAGAGTTTGTGCCGTGTTTTCCTAGTTTGTGCACTGTCTTTTCTCCTGTGTCTATGCTATATTGTTCCACTTTCCTTCTTGTCAAGATGTAACGTCAGGTCAAGAAACAGACCTGAAACAAGATAGTTCCTAGTCTTCTCCGTCATGTGTCGCCTTGTGAGGAAAGGTGGACCGAGTTACTTGAACACTTCAGACGCAAACAATCTCTCAACGGTTATGCCAGGATCTGTAGACTACAGGTCTCATATTGAGACCATTGCAACACGGCTCCAGAGCAAGTGTATTTTGACTCTCTGAAAGACAAAGGCTTTTTCCAATCTGTTTGGAGTGAGTGCCGCAACCTTTCTGGCTTGACAGTAAGGAGAAACCCTACTTCTTCATCAAATTTGATAGGCAAATTACAAAGACGCCTGGCTGGATCTGGTGAAATCAACAAGATGCAGATGGTTTGATCAGCTGCTCTTGTTTTGCGGTTTGCACTTGTCCGAGGAAAAATGCAGAGTACCGGGATCCTAAATCCTCCAAAGCTTTGAGCAAGCTGAACAACAATCTCCAGGAAGTCTCCAACATCATGAGGCCTTGAGTGTTCTCCAGAGCCCGAAGTGTCTTTGAATCACCTTCAAAGCCTGAGGGGTGTGGTAGTGATAGGGCCATGTAGTGTAGAGGCCATTGAATCATGGGGCTCAGGCAGAACATCGACGAGATTTTGAAGCGCGGCGAGAATCTCGAGTCTGTTGGGCGCAAGGCCTGCAGACAAGTTTCGGTGAGCAAGAGATTGTGCGGAGTTTGGTTGTGGTTTGTCAGCTTTTGGGGTTTCAATTAGCTCGAAGTATCTCCCACTACTTGTATTCACGTCGCTTCGCGACGGTAACCGCCCGCACCGCATTGGAGGGCTCAAAGACTGCAGTCATGCTCCAGGAACGGGTCAAGGTAGGTACTTCCATTGAACATAGCCCCAGAAGTCACCCCCCCCCCACGTGGAGCCAAATATCCTGACATTCAAGTCCTTATCTCGCGGACACGTCCTTTAGATAGTGACTTCTAAAGCTATGTTAGGCAATATGGAAGCTATGTCCGGTCACGGTGGGGGGGGCTTTATTCCAGTCCCTTTTGAGCCCTCGTTGGGCTATGTTTACGACGTTCAAGTCCCTATCTCGCAGCCACGTCCTTTAGATAGTGACAGATAGTGACTTCTAGAGCTATGTTAGACAATCTCTTTACTTTCTTCCAGTCCCTTTTGAGCCCTCGTTGGGCCATGTTTTGCGTTCAAGTCCCTATCTCGCAGACACGTCCGTTAGATAGTGACTTCGAGGGCTATGCTAGGCAATATGGAAGCTATGTTGAGCCACGTTAGGGGAGCTTGTTCAGCCAAATGTCCGGCCTCAGTCCAATTACACTTTACCGCGCAGATGATTCAAATCATGCAACGGAAGAAAATTGCATTTCTTGCATCACCAGGGGCTTCAAAATAGCACGAATTCATCTTCCAGCATTTTAAGCCGGTTCCAAAAACATGAAAAAGCACAGGATTCTAGAGCGAAAATGGCCGCCCCCCCTAGCTAAAGCTATTGGCTTGCCCAGGCTAGCTTACGTATACCGCGTGCCCCATAAAAAGGCCTCGGCACCTTCGGTGCGGGCGGATTTGGCAAGCTGCCAAGTGCTAGGAGGCTACCAATGCTAGTGTGGCTTGCTGTGAGAGACTCCCGACTGTCTCTACAACTTCCCATCCATCCTTGCCAATCTGATTTTTTCATGGCGAAGAAGTGCTTCAGCCAAGTAGTTTGCCAATTTGGTGGAACGTCAACGTGGCTAAAATGGAAAGTATATATCGTTCAGGGTGTTTGCGAGGGAGAGTGATGAGGCCAACAGCATCAAAGAGGAGTCCAAAAAATTTCGAAGCATGACTGGCCAGCTGAGCTTTCAGACCATGCTGCAGAAGTGACTCGACGAAACTGTGAGATTGTGCGGTTTGGACATGGCGACTTTTCGATCATGCTCTTGCAGAGATTACCCTTGCCCCTAAGAAGTTGAGTATGCCTGAGAGTTTAATGACAGCCTGGCTGGAAGAGTCTTAAAAGATAAGCTTCGGGCTTTATGTTCATTCAAAGCTTTTTTGATTTGATATGCTTCCCATGTAGGACTCCTGCCCAGCTTGGTCGCGAGGTATGGAGTCTTTGTGGTCATAGGGCTCATGGCATTCTTGCTGATTTGCTTTAAGCTTTTCAGGTCGTGAGGCAAAGGTGTCAAAATGTTCACCTTTGCCGTCATTTCTAGCTAATGCGAGGCATTCTTCAAGTGGCTCTTGGGAGCCTAGAGATGCGCAAGTAAGCCTTAGCTGAGTAAGCCTGCTTTCCCAAAACCTATATATGTTATATATTTACCACGTGATACCATGCATCCTATGTGTATGTCAACCAAAGCTAGAGATTTGACACCCGTAGGGAGTTGTGTTTCTTGACAACTATTTGGAAGAAGTGACAAATGCTGGCAAGCAGCAAATGGTGAGGCGTTTTGCCTACCTATGGCCCTTTGGAGCTTGCTCATATTTTCACTCCAAAAACAGCAGTGACACCAAGAGAAAGTCAACTGCGGACTGTGAGCCGTTACCTGTTCATGTTCAATCTCAAGACACGTACATGTCACGTGATGTTGCTGTCCCTTCGATATCAGTGCAGTTTGCAGCTGCGAATCATCCTAAGGAGGTTGAGGGGTTGCAGCTCGCCAGCCTTTGTGCGTGGATGGTGAGTCATGTTGTGGAAGTCAACTTCTTTGTGCATTGTTTGTCACGTCTGTTTGCGCTTTGTGTGCTTCTCATGCTTCTCACCTTCAGCAGCTGGGCATGGTGACATTCAGCCCGTGGGACCACGGGTGTGGCGCTGATGATCCAAACTTCTTTCTGTCAGGGCACTAGGCCCAGTCATCCATCAATTGAAGATCATCAGCGTGACAATGTGCAGAAATTCCTGTGTGTGTTTTCCGGCAATGCCTTGGGAGCTTTGCTTACCATGCTTACCTCCGCTAGACAAAACGAGCCGCATGCTGTCGACATACACTACCGAATACAGAACAACATGTATTATGTCGAGTGGATATCAACCCCAGCTCTTGACTTGGTTAGCATGATAGCTCTTCTCCCTTTGTTTTATTGGTTAATTTATCAGCATTGGGATGTTTTGTCCATTGGGTGTTTTGCTGGCAGACTCGATGAAGTCGATTTCATGTTTCTAGGTGTAGTAACAAGAAGCTACTAGTAACGAGGGCAGATGACAGAGGATACGAGTGACACATGTGGGAATTGCTGAGGGTCGCTTTAGTTTCACAGAGCAAGAGGATGAGCGGCTGTTGGAAATCAGGAGATGACCCATTTACGTAGCATGTAACCTTTCATAGCAACAGCCACTGATGTTGCTCAATCCATTTGTTTTGGGCTGTAGCGAAGACGGGCTTATTGGAAGACTAATTCGGTAAAGGTTTGGAAGACTACAGCCCCTTGAATTTGATTCCAAGAGTCTCGCGTTTCAGAGTTTTGAGGCCCATGCGAACGCGCTGACCTGGCAAGTCTCTCAGGAGCCTAAATGGCCTATGAAATCCAATTCCTCTTTGTGCAAGACAACGTGTTGTTGTCAGGTATTCTTGGACGCGCAGACCTCTTCACTTGTCTGGATTGCGAAACGCCCGCCCTCCAGAGAACTTCCGTTCCTGAAGAAACCCTCTTCGTCCTTTTGTTTCGCTTTTCAACGCACGTGCCACAGCCCGCCGTGCCTTGTTTCAGCTGCTGGGGGTGCTTCGGACTGAATTGCTTGTAAGGTAGCAGGCCAACTGGTAGAACTAAGAATCGTTTTTGATGTTTGGCATCAACTGTCGCAACTGTTTCTGGTTGCAAGGCCATTTTCGCAGGAATTTGTACAGAGGTACAGCACAGGCTGGCAAGATCTTTGGGAAAATTGGATCGTGGCGAACTCTATTTTGAAAGCTTTGGATTCTGCGTTGCAGCTTGTATCAACCGAACGCTTGTCCGCCGGCCATTTCGTTCTTTGTCACCGCGGGTTTTGATTTGCTCATTGACGTCTAGCTTTGCATATTTGTGCATCAGTTGCTCTTGGTTTTCTCAGTGCAATTGGTAGACAATTTTAACCCCACCGAGTGAGAGATCAATTATCAATGAGGGCAAGCCTTGTTGATTCCGACACAGCATGTGCGACATCCTTGATAGTCTCAACAAAAGGCCTCCCTTGCATCCAAATAGCAAAAGGACTGCTTCGCTGCTGCACAATGGCCGTTGCCTTTTGGGCAGCATTTCGTGTGAGGCACGGCGATAGATGGTGGATTCTTGCCGAACAGGATCGAGTCTTCCTACCCCAAACCATGAGGACCTCATGAGCACTCAGTGATGGATTGGAATGAGTTAGAGTTCGAAAAGACTCAGTACCAAGACAGGAAATGAGTTCAAAGTAGCGCGAGCAGTGAGCAGGATCAATTTTGTTCTGGCCATTGCCATGGACAGTCTCAGTTGCAGGGTGCGACTTTGGGGTACCAAGCCTGCGTTCCTCAAGCTGCAACCCGTCGATTACCCTGTGTGACACCTGCAGACCTGCTCGCTCCACCTTCCCCTTCTAAAGCAAACCAAGCGTCAACTTTGCCAGAGTGAAGGCAAAAGAAGCATTGAAACCGTTTCAACTCTTGTTTTGCCTGCTCTCCAAAGGTATTTCCAATGCTCAAAACTCGAGATGACAACCTGAGTTTCTTTGCAGAAACAAACCAAGTCCCACAAGGTTGCCAACCACCAAACGATTCAAGCAATTCCGTATCGTTTCCTTGCTGCCAACAAACATTTGATAGGAGCCAGAGGTGTTTGTCGGTACTTGCCTGGAGATTGAAGTTTTTCCAAACAGAAGCTTTAGCCAGAGTGTCCAATGTCTTGCATCGAATCTTTAACTGGAACGTGCGTTTTGAGAGAATTTGATTTTCTTCATCCTGCATACTGCTACAACAACTTGCATACTCGTACCTTCCAGGCTGCCAGTGCGGCTTTTCGCCCGCCACACCGCAGCAGGCATGTTTGGAAAGACACTTGGCTGCTTGCGAAGGTACAAGTGTTCGCATATATACAGACCTGAGTTCTCCGAACAGCTAACAAAGCTACAGCTACTGCAAGACCCTTGCACACTATACGTATACGCTCAAGAGACCTTGGCTGAGGCCAGATGAAATGGCACCCAAACGAGTTGTGCGCTCCAAAGCCCCAATGCAGGCATAGCTCCTATGGCTTTTTTGCCTTGTTTCACAATACTCACATTTGGTACAGTTGGAATAGCATTGAAGATCTCAAGTCGATCCTAAACTCTTGTGCAGTTCCGCACTGCATCTTGAATGTACCTATCTACAACAGCTTGAGATTCTCAAGTGCTTGAGCACTTAATGGCACCGTGAGCCACTTAATAGCACTTGCCTAATGCGGGTACCTTCATGGCTTCGTATCCATGTGATGAAAAAACTTGGCACTAGTAGCTTCTTGCTACTAGTAACAAGAAGCTACTCGGGGCTCCTGGCCTTACTACTAGGAGTCTAGGAGCAAGGACGCTACTAGGGGCTCATGGCATCGCTACTAGGAGCAAGGACGCTAATAGTAACGAGGGCATCGCTACTGGTAGCGATGCACTTGTTACTACATGGCTTCGCCAGGGTCGACAGACGGTGCTTGGGCGTCCATCAGTCCCAATGCCTGGTGTAGCGCCCCACCTGCAAGCGCTTCAACGACTCTCCGAGTCCTGGCGTAGAAGCGAAGAGGCGTTTCTACGACCGAAGAAGCAATAAAAGACAGAAAAGCCACCAAGTTCACACTAATCGACTTATATAATTCAGGGCTGTGGTCCAAGCAGTCGCGAACTAAGGAGATGCTGCCACCTTTGGGTGGAGGTGGATTTTCATCCTCTTGGCGTGCTCGCCAGGCTGAATGGTCATTTTGCGGAGAAGCGCTTTCCATAAACTATGTGTTGCGGTAAAGAGACATCAACTATTCTGTTATCTGGACAGCGAGGAGCGATTGAGAGCCAACAACGACCAAAGGCAGCAGGACATTTGTATGACATTTGTATGCTGACCTCGTTGCAATACCCTTGCTATCCCGTGCTTCTTGAAGGAATCGCCTAGATTGAACACAAAACGAAGAACGTTTTTGTCGAGCCCTTTTCTCAAACGCAAAGGATTCAATGGGCAATGAGTCTATATCACTTGTATCTATCTGGAATCATTGACATTGATCAGTTCAGCGAAGGAAGACGTATTTAATGAGTCCAAGAAGTTTTTGATGGAGTCAGACATTTGGACATTCGGGAATATGTTGGCGTACCAGCGAAAGGCGTGGCACATGTTCGATCTTTTTGGAATGAAGCACAGCCGCGGAGTGGAGATATGGCCGAATCAAGAGAGTTGTTGAACTTTGTGCAGCTTGTGAGAACAATGCCAACAAAACCCAATCATGAGAAATCTGAGAGAACTGTGAGTATCTCCAGGAGCAAGGACGCTACTAGGGGCTCCTGGCCGTACTACTAGGAACAAGAAGCTACTACAAACTCCTGGCATCGCTACCGGGAACAAGGACGCTACTAGAGGCTCTTCCCTCTGCTTCGCTTTACCCTTTGCTCCCTGCACCCAGCTCTTGGACTTGCTGGGCGCCAACTCTTGGCGGCGGCGCCTTTCGGCCGATGACCCCAATATTCAATACCTCGAGAAGGAGAGACACGGAGAGAAATTCTGTTTTAGCGGAGAGGAGTCACGGCAAATGCCACTAAAAATGCTAGGAAATGATGAAAAGACACTTCCAATCCCCTTATACGCCCTCCAGCTACCCTGTAGCCGTCCCAGCCGAAGCACCAGCAGGAACTTCGAGTGTTGGAGGCCATGACGCCAGTTGAGCTGGCATCCAATCACAAGAGTGCAGCTCAATCGCAAGAGTTGACAGATTGCGTCAAATGTTGACAGCGCGCGAGGCTTTGGACATTGCTAAAGGCAAAAAGCAGAGCACAGGAATGAACCGCTCATACCTTGGCCAAGGTTTTCAACTCGCGGTCTATTGCCCTCATTGCTGAGAAGTCCAACACCACTGTGAAATTTGTCAACCAGGCAGCAAGACCAGCCAAGCAGGTCAGATACTGGCACTTTTTCTCGGATTGTTTGTGCAAGTTGCTTCTAATTCCTACTTACTTCTGGTGTTAGGTGATCCTAGAACATGATGTTTTACGTGCAGACCGAAGGTGGTACCAGTGTGGGGCCTCAGCCGGAAAGCTTGTGCAGCAATGTGTGAATGTGACAAAACATTTTTCAATATTTTTCTTACACTCTTTTGTGGCTTGACAGCTTGAAGGTTCAGAATTTGGAGAAGCAACTTAACAGTGACTTCCAGCGTATAGTGGGTCCAAAATGCGAAGTTGCCCTGTTCAGTAGGTTTCTGTTTTTTCCCGGGCCTGAGCTTCGAAGGATCTTGGCGCAGTTTGACAGACCTCAGCCAAAGTCATTTGAAGACCGGAGCTTCATGGCAGAGTGCGCGACAGGGAATTTGAAAAGTCGAGTTGCCACTGCAAGTTCGCATGAACCATGGGCACGAGCAGATAAAGGGATCACAATACCTTTATATACCTTGACATGCATTTTCTAGATTTTTGATCCTTCTTGATGGAACCTGAATCTGGTCCAACGCTGCAGTTGGATGCTCCGACACCAGGTACGACAGGCCCTTCTCACAGTCCGAAGATGACATGCGAGAAGAGCCATTTTGAGGCAGTTAAGCACCCTTGCAGTCCAAGGGTTGCTAGGGTGTTTGACCGACACATTCTATGGAACAGAATGGTGCAGGATGGGACCTCCAGGAATCGACCTCGAGTCTGAGTCAAAACTCTGGAAGAACAAGCCTGTATACGAATTTGGGATTCATTTGACTTAGAAGCGAGGGTCCACATTCCGTTTTTGGGTTAGAAGAATAGACAGGCTAGGGCAACTCCGCATTTGAAAACCTCTGTTGTTTGTTGGATGTTGGACCTCAAACTGGATGAACACCGGATTATATAATTAGTCAGGCGTTTACGTGAGGTCTTGTTGTGTCTCCAACACCGATACTTGCGCTTTGCAATCTCTGAGGATGATAGAGAAGCAGCAGCGCATCCAGAGCAAAAAGAAATCGAAGCGAGTCCCGGGCTTGGTACAACAAGCAAAGGACTGATCTTGTTTTCCTGATGCCAGATGGTTAGAGTTTTGCTTGTACGAAATTGATTTTGTATGTATATATATGTTCTACATCGTGTCTTGTTTTCTCTTGTCGATTGTGTTTCTTGAAAGATCTACAACTAAGTTGACCTGGATCTGGTACCGACACCCAAGCTGTGGGGGCAACCGCTGGTCCACGCGGCCACCGAGATGGTGGGACCTTCGGTTTACTTGCAGTTGGAGTTGACTCGCCATCGTTTCATGCCCTGATTTTCTGAATTGTCCAAGCTGAACCACTTGTTTTCCTATCCGTTTGAGCTTGGCAGCTATCTCTGAAGTCTATTTCCAAGCGGTGAAGGTATCCAGCACAATGGAAGACGCGGCCGGCAGGGCCCCTATTAGCATTCTACAGACTGAGAATTTTGGAATAGGACACAAGTGGGGAGCTTTGCTTGGAATACATGCAGTATTTGTGCTTGTGGCAGGAGCGGCGGCTACGCTTGGCTGGGGTGGGGGTTCAGAACTGAGTGCGCGGAAGAGAGGAACATGTGGCAGCCATGCATCATTACATGATTCAACTTTTGCTAGTGACTAGTCACAGCATGCATCATTATACGGCTGCCCCTGCAGCCCTTTTTGCAGGTGCCAGGTGGTGGTGGTGATCGTGGAAGACCCTGGGGCCGTGAAGATCTCAAGATGATTGTGGATTTCCCGCTCCGACTCTTTTGATGGCACGGACCACATTCGTATCGCTGAGGTTTGGCTGCCTGGGTGGGAGATGGTTGAAAAAGGTTTGAATGTACAGCACTTTGGCACTAAATGTTTGAGGTTTCAGGGTGTTCAGGCACACTTGAGAGATGTTTGAGCAAAGGACTGTTTCGGCTCAGACCCTTATTTTGTCTTCAAGCCAGTCGTAAAGTCTTGGACCTTTCCTGAAACGTGAGCTTAGTAATTACTGTGCACTGTTGGAATGGTGTCTACCTACACACTAGCTCTTGATGAATCCGCTCCGCTTGGCATTGCTCGGCGCCTGCACTTGTGGTGCCTGGGATCTTGACTTCGTTTGCAAGCACTCAGATGATCACGTTGTCTCAAGTCGGTTGCATGATGAATCAATTATATATAGTATTAATATTGTATTGATGCTGGGGCTGTCTGTGTTTGGCCCAAGTGCTGTTGGCCATCTACCTCAAGGGTGATGGCTTAGAATGGTATGCTTTTGACATTCTACTGGCAAACAGTGGCAGCGAAAGCACTGGAGAACTTGAATTCATTTGGAAGTACAATTTATACATTGTCTTTGTTCTTTAAAGTGGGTAAGGCGTTCAATCCAGAACAAGCAATGCATTCTTAGCAAACATTGTATATATCAGGAGTTCACATATGTCAACATGCTTTGCTTTGTGTGACCGCCTGTGTCAAAACGTCTTGGCCTTTGCTTATGCCGTTTTATGCCATCGATTTCTTGATGAAGCCAGCTAGCTGACGCCCTTTGCAGTGCAAGCAGGCGCAAACCCCATACGCAGGCCTAAGTCATTCTGTTTGCACCTGCATATATCAACATGTTTGACATCAACTTTGAGCACTTTTTGTTTCCCCCATGCAGGAAGGTCAGTAACACAGTTGTTCTTGTAGAATCTCGCAAAACCCACAAACCCTCTTTTCTCCCAAGGCTGCGGAGAGTTGCTCAACATTCATTCTGCTCTCGCTCCTGCCAACAAACAAAGACAGACTCAAGTCGCCCTGCTGCCAAGCAGCTATGTCTCATGCGATGAAGCTTCCATCATTTTGTTGAACCCAAGTACTTTCTACCAACGTTTTAACTTTTAACACACGTCAAGCACTTTATTTGGCACGTTGAATGAAAGTCGTGTTCACTGTTTCTGCATTCCAAGCTCCAGAAATCACGGAGCAGTGAAGGCCATGTCAAAGCGAACAAGCAGTGAGAAGAAAAGGAATTACAATGATAACATCCATTCCATTGGGGGACGGAGACCTGGCTTTGCCATACCTGCTCCTAGGTAGAAGTGGTAAAACAACTCCGTGTCCAGTTGTGGTCAGGCGAAGGTCTCCCCACACGAGACATGGACTTGGATGCCTTCCGCAAGTCCCTTCGTGTCGCTCTTGAACCGTACAGTACACGAGGTGCTCGGATGCATTCAATTTCTTGTCGCTTGCAATTCATAGTGATTGTTTCGAGGTGATCTTTCTCGAAGCACTATTGAGAGACTGTTGCGAGGCTTCATTGAGGAGACGATTGTTGAGCTATTGTATGTGTGAGCTTGATTGATTACATCCAGTGAAACAGTCATATTCTATTTCCCCAATAGCCATGCTATGGGGTCTTGCAAAACGAATAGGCGGACGGGCGCCGTCGGGTCACCGTCAGAGCTGGTGGGCGGATGGTGTCCCGGTCATGTTTTGATGGCGTTCGGGTCATGTGATGCTGGTGTCCCGGTGTCCCGATCATGTTTTGATTGTGACCCAATCATGTTGTGATGGTGTCCCGGTCCTGTTTTGATGGTGTCCCGGTCATGTTTTGATGGTGTCCCGGTCATGTTGTGATGGTGTCCCGGTCATGTTTTGAAGGTGTCCCGGCCATGTTGTCATGGTGTCCCGGTCATGTTGTGATGGTGTCCCGGGCATGTTTTGATGGTGTCCCGGTCGTGTTGTGACGGTGTCCCGGTCATGTTTTGATGGTGTCCCGATCATGTGATGGTGGCGCGGTCATGTTGTGATGGTGTCCCGATCATGTTTTGATTGTGTCCCAGTCATGTTGTGATGGTGTCCCGGTCATGTTTTGATGGTGTCCCGGTCATGTTGTGATGGTGTCCCGGTCATGTTTGATGGTGTCCCGGTCATGTTGTGATGGTGTCCCGGTCATGTTTTGATGGTGTCCCGGTCGTGTTGTGACGGTGTCCCGGTCATGTTTTGATGGTGTCCCGGTCCTGTTGTGATGGTGTCCTGGTCATGTTTTGGCGGTGTGCCGGTTATGTTTTGATGGTGTCCGGGTCATGTGACGGTGTCCCGGTCATGTTGTGATAGTGTCCCGGTCATGTTGTGATGGTGTCCCCGTCATGTCATGCTGGTGTCCCGGTCACCTTGTGATGGTGTCCCGGTTATGTTGTGATGGTGTCCCAATCATGTTGCGACGGTGTCTCGGTCATGTTTTGATGGTGCCCTGGTCATTTTGTGATGGTGTCCCGGTTATGTGATGATGGTGTCCAAGGAAGAGATGGTCGATGTGTTGAAAACAGCAGCTGTTTCCAGATTTTTCTTTTTGTCCCGGTTTGTATCTTGCTATTGGGGTCTCCAGCTGGGCTAATTTTTCCTTTTGAATGCATTTTCCGATCTTTTCAGCGCTTGTGAGGAGAGCTTGCATGGCCGTTTGAATGACGTGATTCAGGACCATGACAACAGCCACAATGGGGAATGCATATCAACCAACTACCGGGAGTTAATCCAACTAGTATGCGGAACAAGACATTCAGTTATGATCCGATCCAGATGTAACGTCTAAGTCACCATTTCTTGGACCACCAAAAGCTTATGTAAGCTGCCAGGCTTCAAACTCTCCGTGCGTGGCCTCCGAGATCCGTTCAGAAGTTCGGACATGCACCCGTCTGTGAAAACTCTTGTCGCGCATTGAGGGAGCGAACACCTTGCAAAGGTTGTTTGGTGTTCCCATGTTTGTAGTTGTGTTTGGGCGTGCATGTAGTTCCAGGTGCGTTGCTACAAGGTTCGGCACTCCTCTGGTTTTGGTTCTCCACGATTACTATCATTGCCCGTGAGAGAGAGAGAGAGAGAGAGAGATCAGCTTGCAAGAGGAAGTAGCTGATATTTTGGGCCAGGAGCTGGAGCATCGACCGGGCTGCATTAGCTTGAATGCCTTTATTGAATGGGCCTCTTGGCAAGTACAATTTGGCAATGTTTCACCTTGAGTTACTGACATCTTGGCACGGTGAGGTCTGTTCGTCACCGGGTCAGGCGTGGTTCGGAACACCTTGTCTCAGTTTTGAGCAGCCTGAATCATTGTTTGCCTGGTTGAAGGGGAGCACTTCAAGCAGCCTACAACTTCCAGCAGCTCTTGGAAGATCGACGTCAAGCTCAAAAGACAAATTTCAGCATGCGAGAAGCACACTCAAGAAGGTGAGATGCTGCTGCAGCAGCGCTCGCACGATCAAGGTTTTTCTTTGGAATTTGTCGCCCGAGCTTTTCCTATGCTCTTCACAACCTCGATTTGATTGAGCCAACTGTAGGTGCAATGTTTCCGCACGAAGGAGCAGTCTATGCTACTGGGTGCCGCTTGTCACAATCGGAAGCCACACGTGTTCCACCTGCAAGAACCGAAGACCTTGGAACAATATCATCGCTAGGTTCGAGGCCATCGATATTAGGTTGGAGGCCATTGCACTTATATAGATTCTTTTCTTAGTCTCCCTGTGTGAATTCCAATCTCTGAGGTCAGCATCAAGTTTCTTGCCAGCGACTTCTTGGCCGAGGAAGGGATCATGGAAGAGTGCCGAATGCAACCCTCTTTACGTCTGTACAATGTTGTTCCGCTTTTCTTTTCTATGAAGCCGATTTTTATTTGGAATGTTGCGCACCGTCCAGCTATTGCTGTTTTCAATTTTGCCACGAGGTGGAAGAGCACTTTGGGAACGGATCTGATCCCAACTACCATGTGCCAAGCTTAGGATAGATAACCTTTATAGCAATTCCAATGTGCAACAGCAGCCTGACGATCTGCTTAGGAGATCAACCCAGTGATGCTTCATGGGCCCAAAGCTCGAGGTTTTGGACTCCAATGCCCCAGAGACAGAGGGTTTGGAACCAGCTATGTGGATGCCTTGGATGAGATCCACACGGGCCCTGCCACAGTAATGCTCTCCTGGGTCTGGAAATACTCAGTTCGGACTGTGGTGACTGCCTTGGTGCGGTGGTGTGCGCGAACTTCACGGGACCCGCCATTCACCTATGTGTGGCAATGCGCTTTGTGTTGCTTGGTTTTTGCTTGTGAACGTTTGCAGTCAGCGTTTGGCAGCGGAGTTTTCCACATTGCTTTCTCAGGGTCTTTGAATGACCAATTCGAGTGTCATGTAATCCAACTCAGGCAACAATCAATTCAGAGTGGCAGAAAAGCGTGCAAGAAATGAGAATGAGGACTTTGATACCTTTCGCACAGTTTTTGAAGAGAGTGCCTGAGATGAAAGTCATTGTGCTGCTGTAAACTTCCCAGTCCGTTTCTTGCATCTCACGCCTCAGGGGTTCACTGCACTGGCCACATTTTGGCCTTGCTTTCACCCTGGCACGGCCCAATGTACACAACACGGATCTGGCTCTGCGGTTGCATTTAGCTGTGCAACAAGCAGTTGGAAGACTGTTTGGTATGGAATAGACTGCAGGAGTGTTGAAGGCTTTTGGAGTCAATACAGTTAGGCTTTTGGAGTCACAATACAGTTGGAGGATGAGTCAGAGGCAATCATGTAAGAACAGGAAAAACAACTCAGGTGCGTCTTCGAGCTTTGGGTTGCCTGCCAAAATCAAGATGTGAAGCTAGAGGCTGGGATTTGAGGTGTCTGCCCAGGGCACGGTTGCCCTCGGTGTTCTTGTTGTCTTGTACACACGAAACGCAATGTGCTTTAGCGCATGTTCTGTTGGGCAACGATCACGCAACTCCATTGCAAAAGACACAGTTTCAAAGGCCCTTTTCACTGAGCTGAAGTGAACAATGCACTTCAAACACATCGAAAGGAGTCTCTCAGGGAGAGGGTTGTCACTGAGTCTTCAGTTCTTTCGTCCAAGTGATTAGGTGATCCTCTCGGAGCAAGCTGAAAAGGAGTTTCATCGCGCTTTGTCAGCAGATGGAGTGGTGAGTGTCTGGCACTGAGATTTGCATTTGCCACTTTGCTATGTGGGTTGATACATACAGCTTTCTTAGCACCATTTTGTATCAGGTCTGGAAGGCTTTTGGTAACGCTTCAGCCCCAGCCAGATGCGATTCTGTCAAAGCTTTTACCATCTGTGAAAAGACCAGGTGCAAATCCAAAAGGCAAAGGCTTCTGTGCCAGCAGACCGGTCAAACATCATGCGGCTCGTGGAACCGAATATGACAATCGTGCCTTTTCAGACAATGTGAAGTGATTTCAAGTCTGCCAGCCGCTACTGTATCATTCTTGCTTCTGCCAGCCACCAAGGATGACTGCAATTCTTCGGACAGAGTGAACAAGTTGAATCAGGTGCATGCAGCATGATACTGTATGCGGAAAGTTGCCGAGCATCAGAGTGGGATGCTCTAGCAGTTTAGGTATCAGTGTATCTCAAAGTAGGATTGGAATACGAGGATCGTGTAGGTCAGATGGACGAATTTTAGTGGTCTGGGGTTGGGGTTTACCTGATTGGGTCGGTTGCCTCCATCACTACATTCTGTCCAAGAGTGACACCGGTGTCGCCAGGTGGTGGTACAGCGCTTGCAGGCTTGGTGTACTGAGGCGGCTGCCCAATTTGCAGAAAGCTGCTTGGAGGACAATGTGGCTGTGCAACCAAAGGCGGCTCAGTAGTTGGGTGTTCCAACTTCCATGTTTCTGACAAGAGTTTTGCCAGTGTTCGATGGAGCAGTCTGCATGGGAGGCTTGTGCCAATACAGCCTGGCTGTTGATGGAGGCGAATGACTGGCATAGAGCCATGGCACTTTTGGTGCAAGGCTGGATGGGGCCGTGAAGGCCAAAAACGGACTTATGCAACAATCTACGCATCCTTGTTTTTCTAGTTGTTGCCGCTTGTCTTGTGTTCTCAAGTTCTCAAAGCATCCTTGAAATAAAGTCTTCAGTCTTAGAGTCGATGTTTTTCCTGGTTTGCTGTTTCTTTGATGAGCCATGGCCCAGGTCGCCAGGCATTAAGTCGCCTCGGAAAAACGGGGTCTTTGGAAGAGCCTTGTTTATGATGGCAGCAAGGTCGGCAGAGCAAATAATGATTGGCTGGAGCATATGCACTCGTCAAGCTTGAGGATGCATGGCTTCTGAAGTGCATGGGCAACTGGCACACGGATCTTGGCCACTATGATGAGGCGCCTCGAGACTGAGGAGACGGGAAACGATTCCAATGCACGTTCACTTTCCTTTTATATAAGCTTTTGGACGTCCACTTTGGGATGTTGATGTGGAGGGCACCAAGCACTACAAGCTGGCAAAGGATGCAATGGAGGAAGCCGGAGCAACTGAGACAGCTGAATATGCGCTGGAGCTTAGAGGTTTTCACCTGTCTCAAAATCTTGCTGCATGCAGCCTTGAGAACTTTTTTGAGGCCCGTCTGCTGAGAACCATTGGCAAGAGCCTCATTGTGCAAGGCTGGCGGGCCACGTAAAGCGTGTATCATGCAGAGCACAAGCTTGGAATCAGTCGGATAAAACTTGATTGAAGAGGCTCTTTTTGTATCACCAAGATGTTTGGCTACAGTATATATATATATATACACATCTTTTTTTACTGTAAATCCTCAAACATCTTGGTCCCCATTCACAACGGGAGTGTGCTTTGGACTGTACTGTAGCCTGGAGCTTTTTTGTTGCTTCTGGCTAGTTGACATTGGACATGTAGGTTAGGAACTCACCAGATCCATGGCTTGCGTACCAAGAATCTCATCTTGTTGCGGGTAGGTACCTGCATGCACTTTACGCCATCAGCATTTCAGAAGAAGCCGTTTATTCGTCCGAACAATGGGGACATTTTGATGTTGATGACCTTATTGCTTCCTTCACGATGACATCGTTGATGCTGTTGAATATTTGAGCATATTGACAGGTCTCCGATTTCGTTATCAGTCTGTTTGTCACAGGCCACGTGGAAGATGCGATGGAGACACTGCAACAGTCGCAGAGTGCCTTCATCCGGGCTCAAGCCACGGACACACCAAACTACGTGCCTTGGCAGAGAGGTCAAGTTGAGAGACCTACAAATCTCAAGACGAAGTGAAGACCCTTCTTTTAGTCAGTTTTGCTCTCTCAGGCTGTTTGTTTACGAAGTCTCGGGTTTTGCTGCCTTGAGCTTGGAGACCTGCAGCAGGCGATAGTCGTATTTGGAAGCTAGAGGCGACTAAATGCCTCTTTTTTGCACGCAGGCGATGGCCTGCTATTCTGAAGCAAAGGTGGTTTTTGAAGGCACTGGAGCAGCAAGAACACCCAATTATGCAGGACTTGTGATTGCACGTGAGTGACCAGCACCGCTTCAGAACACTTGGGTGATTCCGAGATCATCATTGGACATTATAGCTACAGTATGAACATTTTCTGTGCCCCAACTATGAACCTTCTTTCCCTCTCTATCTCTATGGATGGAATGTGGCGTCCGACCTGGCATGACCCTCTTCTTAAAGCTGATTTGACGGAGGCGTATTGTTTTCTTTTGTGCTTGTAGGACTTCTCACAGACATGGGAAGAGTGAAAGTCACTGAGCATGCGCTGGATGAGGCTATGGAGCCCCTTGGCTTTATTGCAGAACCAAGTCCTTCTCACAAAGCACTTTCTTCAAGACTTTCTGAAGACTTTTGTAGACATCAATGCCAGGCTCTTCCAACAGTCCCGGCTTGCGTTCGAGATGGCCGGTGCCGAGAAATCAAAGAATTTTGCAGATCTTCTCCATTTCATGGGACACTTGGTTATGACAAGGGTCTTGCTGCAGCCATACCTGGGATGTGGTGGTCCTGTTTATGATCCAAATGAATTAGGTGATTGCATGGATGAGCAGGGCCAGTACAGTGAGGCATTGAGGCCAAGCTTGGGAGAGAGATTTATTTGACAAACATATGATAAAGATTGGAAAGACAGTTGCACGTGGCATCGTACAGTCTATGTTGACGTTTGAAGTTTGGCTGCCAACGCTTGGCAGACACGTTAGATGCCCCTAAATCGCCAGGTATTTCTCTGAGGCGAAGCTCACATTCAACAAATGTGCACTCAATAGAACTACCAACTATGCTGCACCCTGGCAGTTTAAAGTATGTATCCATAGCCATGTTGGGATGTTTAGCCTCAAATCCTCAGGAACAAACTGCAGCCCTGCTTACAAACTTGAAAAGATGCGCCTTTCATGTTAGAGATGAGCGAAGGAAGCAGTTCATGCTCAGGCACTCTTGGCCAACATGGCTGACTGCATGGAGCATCAAGGCTGGCCTTGGAACTATCTCGTAAGAGGACCTACCAGCTCTACCCGCCTTTTTGTGAAGTCGGACCAAGAGTGGAGTAGTATGTAGTGAGCAGTAAACAGCCGGTATATCCATATCGGCAATAGTTAGCGTAGTTAAGGGGTCTTGAGTGAGTTACATGTGTGGCGGAGGCATGTCTGAAGAGGCCGCAGAACTACGGCAGCAGGTCAGTGCTCCTGGACTGCTTTCTTGTCATTTTCTCACGTAGACGGCTGGTAAAAAAGAGAAGACTTGCTGCAGGCTACCGACATTTACCAGGAGGCAAATGTGTCCAAAGAGGTGCTCGAGAATATGTCCCCATTGGAGAGACGTCGAAAACGCTGGAGCCTTTGAAATGTCCCAGGAGTCCGTCGGAGTCCGTATGAAAGGCATCAATGTGCAATGTGCAACGATTCCCTTGTCCATTGGCTACCAAGCTGCAAGTCTGAAGGATGTGCCACCAAGGTGTCCTCAACCATGAAAAATCCGGCACATGCGCAACATTGACTCCTGCATCTACGCTTCATTTTCATATGCCGGGTTGATATGTGCTGTTCATGTTGTTTGGGTACTGTACATTGGAAAAGCAACCTGTGTGCAATTCTGCCGTCGGTCCTTTCTACTGTAAACTCATCTAAAATCTCAGAAAGTCGCGTCCGGCGGAGCCGATTGCGGGCTTTCGAAGTCAGTGCGATGCATGTACAGTTGCAAGCGCGTGGCTTGCCATCCGCGTCCACCCAAGCTTGGCGTGAGACGACGGAAAGCACATCCAATCGTTGGTTGACAGGTCCGCCCTTCTGTGCAGAGCAGAGAGGTACACTTGCCACATCGAGCCACATTCTTCTTGTACAGACGCCTTACGTTTCAAGCGTTTGCATGCCAAAATCACCGCTTCACGGTCGTTTTGAACCTGTTCAGTTGCAGCAAAGCAGCTTGGTGAAGGGCGGTGAGATTACTTGGCAGGTGCTGATGGTAAGTTTCATCTTGGTGTCTCTAGCGAAGAGGCGCTGAAGTTCGGAGGCTCAGGGGTGGACTCGCTCAACCATGGTCAACCAATGTAAAGTTTCCTGAGCATTGAGCTACCCTTGTGAGGTATTTTGGTGAAGGCTCCCTGCCGCTAAGCCTAACCAGCTTGGCAGCTGACAGTCACAAGCTGAGAATTTTCCTGTGTGAGTCGCTGACTTACTTTATTTCTTTACTGGACCCCCCTCATTTAAAGCATGATAAATAAGAGCAAGAACAAGAGGAAAAAGCGGAAAGAAAGACGAAGCATTGTCAAGATTGCTCTCCAAACCAGCTGAAGGTATAGATGAGACCGCGTTTACTTCCTATGCCAGGATGGGAGAGTTATAAGTTATAAGCCTGAGATGGAATAATAGCACTGTATTGGATAAGAATGCAACACTAGAGTTCTCAGACCAAAGTTTTTCCGGGAAGCTCGGGTACAGGAGAGGTCTTCCAGTGGTCATCAAGAATGGCTTTCAGGGTACTCAGTTTGATGCCGCAGCCCTAGAAAGCCGCAAGAAAGCACGTCATCAGTCACTCAGGACGCATTTCTGGACATTTAAAGGTCTGTGCAACATGCAGGTCCTTGATGAGCCAGAAAAATGGACCTGCCGTGTGCCCAGTGGACAATCAGGTGGGGTTCAGTGAAGACAGTCTCACTGAGGTGACGCGATCGCAAAGAGATTTCCCACAGGGCGTATGAAGATGGAATACACAGCCAGTGGAGGCCACAGCTTGGGAGTGATCCACAGTCATGCTTTTGGTTTCCAGTGACAGGCAGTCACGAAAACCCCATCAGCATGAAAGACGTTGACAGTTGGTGCGAGCCTTTTCTCAGTTTGATCTGCATTCACCCACCTGCTGGGCACGTGAGCCTATTTGCTTTTCGGAGCTCGACAAGGAATACACAGGTATTTATTGTTCGAATGCTTCTTCTTGCGAGTCATATTGCAATCAGTTTTCTGAAGGTCAAAAGCAGCGGAAAGCAGCGGCGCTGATGATCCTGAGGAGCTGAATAGCACTTGAGATGCATCTACACTTTTTGATGGATGGAATTCTGTTCTGGCTTGAAGTCTCCAAGCTTTGTCGGCACTAAGATACTGACTTGGTGCCACTAGAGTCATGTTCTAAGTCACCTCATCATGTGAAAGTTATGTCATGGCTGCCACTTGCAACAAAAGGCCATGCAATCCTCATCAATAACCCCTTCTTTACTTGTACACACTTTGTGGAGCTTTATCGCTAGTGCTAATTAGCATGTCTGGGGAGGGCGTCTCAAAAAGTAGCAAGCCAAAGCCTTTATCACCTTTCTGGAACTTTCGGTAGAGTGTTGTTTGGACCGGCAGGCCCCACAACTTGTGTGCCTGCCTTGTTTGAGCATGATGAACCCAAGGATGCAGTGAGAGGATGCTTGCTGAATACTTTGACTCCAGGCTCCGCTGTATTGGGGTGTGAAAGGTCCGCAGCCCAGAAGAATTAGAGTAGGGTGGGAGAGGATACATATATACTATTATTTCCAACTTGCATTTCATTGGATGTCTGGAAATGAAAAGCCCAAGAAGCAGATGAACCGTTGGAGTTGGATTCCGCCTTCTTTGTCCCATTCTACCAGACCGGCAGAATGCGAACACTGGATCTAGTGTGATCACGGATGGTAAGCATTTCCTTTCACTATTGAGCGGTGAAGCTGCTTTCTTTGTGTTTGGCACGCCCGGACAAGGCGCAGACGACGGAGAGCGTCTTTGGGATGGAAAAGAGGCACACATGACAGTCAGTCCCTCTCTCCAGTTAGAAGTTGCTGCTTTCGCCATGCTGTTATGTTTATGAATTGGTGGCTGAGCCTGTTGATATCTTTTCGGCAAAGCCTGGATGTATGTATATAGTATATGTGTATATATATATATTACATATGTATCACGCAGACATGCACAGCAAACAACCCTGCCAGCCAAATATGTTCACCTTTCTAGAGACAACCAACAACCAGCAAACGATGTCCACCAACGTGGTTGCGCCCGACAGGGCCCTGTAGAGGTGCTCATCAGGATGTTCTTGTTACTAGTAGCTTCTTGTTACTAGTAGCGATGGCCTCCAACCTAGTAGCTTCTTGCTACCAGTAGTAACACTTGTTACTAGTAGCTTTGTTTTGTCAAACCCCGCATTTCTTGAAACAGGGCTTTTTACGAACCTCAACAATCTTGCGAAGATGCCCGATATTGAGTGCTTCGCTGTGACTTTGCAGCGATTCACATTAAAACCCCCTTGGAGTTGCTTCCAGTCTGCAGTGCAGCTGTTTTTTTCTATGTGTCGAACTTAGGAGTCATTGCCAGTCATTGCCCATCGCCCCCACAAGCGGAACAGGTCGTCTTTTCGTGTTCTTGAAAGGAAGCTGTGCACGATTGCTGCAGCTTCTTTTCATTTGGCCTGCAGCATTTTGGTTGGTTGACCTCCTGCAGGATTGCAGGATTGACTTTGTTCCACAATCTATCCTTGTCTGTGTGCTGGCTTTGGTACGAAAGTCCAGCTCTTGAACCGGAAGCTTCCACTATGGTGCAACACGTCATTCAACGGTCGGAGCTTTGCCAAGCGCAAAAGCATCACATGAAAACAGGGCGTCTATCGATATAAGTGTTTAACATGTCCTACGTGGTATTCATCCACTTCTTCTCATTTATGCCGCGAGACTTGCACCACATGCGGCGTGAAGTCAAAAGCAGTGAAATATTCACGATGAAGTTGCCTGACAGATGTCTTCTATCAAGCGCTTTTCGCCAGCCTCGTATCGTCAGCCACATCAGTCATACCTCTGTTTCACTGACCGAAAGGCTCTTACCTCTCCCCGAACCCCCCACCCTTTGATGAACAAATGCCCCGCTGTTACCACTAATAAGGTCACTAATATTCGCACATCGTTTGCCAGGATTTGCTCAAACAGATGCGCAAGTTCATGCAGCCTTTGCCAAAGTTCCTGCGACAGACTCAGGCATCGGAGTGGGTGTTTACAGACTGCAGAGGGTAAGAGAATGCAGTCTACTTTTGGGTGCCGTCATGAACACCAGGACTTCACCCTTTAAGATTTTGGGGGGAGCATTCTTGTGCAGCTTTGCAGCGCGAAGCAGGCAAATCAAAGGGAGATCTTGGGAAGCAAGGCTCTCAGCGTCTTTGTGTAGCGGAAGTTGTGTGTTGGTAGTGCTGCTGCAGGAGCAGTCAGATGCTTTACTATTCATGCAGTTGTTGATTTCTAGTTTGCAGGGCACCAGGCAAAGTATCGTTTGCCACTAAGCTACAGCCAATCAATCTAGATCAATGTGGTTTCATTTAGTACTGTTCGACGATTTAACAGACGAGTATGATTACGATAGTAAACCTTAATTTTAGTGAGTTGTTAGTTGTTAGTTGTTAGTGTTCACAATTAAGAGCTGCTCAAATTCTGGCTACTGTTCCTGTACAACTTGACATTTCTTTTCCTATGAGCTTGTGTATGTGCAGAGTACTGCAGATATTCTGCTGATTTGGTCAGAGCAACAGTTCCAAGAAGCTTATTTGCAGGTTCGGGCTTAACTTAGCAGCATCACAGCCGCAACATGTCCTCCTGATTCTTTGATCTGAGCGGTCACACCTCAAATAATCCGGAAGGCTGCTTGGGCAGATCCATTCTCTTGGTCAAACAAAGGGATGGCTTGACAAGCTTTGCTTTGAGAAATATGCTATCACACTACCGGCAGAATCAATGCTCAAGTCAATCTAGGCACAGACTATCCTTTGTGCTCGTTTGAGTAGCGTGTGCGTTTTCTTCTGCACAACATTATGATGAACTATGCCGATCCGAACAGAAGAGCAGCGAGGTCCTGAGTTCTGGTTTGCTGCTGCTGGAGCAGGTGCAAAGGCCAGGCATGTTGGCCAATCGCTCCGATCGTTCGGTGAAGTTTCTGGCACCTTGGTAAACGTCCCTATGATTATCCAGAGCTGATGCCAATGACCGTTTTCGTCTTTCAGGCACACATGGACAGCCATTGTGAAAGCACTTTGACATTGCAGCTGGCTGGAAGGACTGAAAGTGATTTCGGATGTGTGGCAGATCCTTTCGCTTTTTGGACCCAGACACATCTTGAAGTACAGTTTATAATATAGTTTCGCTGAGTTTGCACAGTATGTCGAAGTTGAATCTCACTTGAGGAAGAGGTGGAGGCCATGTGCAGATGCATTGGAGTTCATGTAAGAACACATGTGTCTTCTCAGCGCCATTTCAATGTTCTGATTTCTTCATACTGATTTCAATGTGAAGTCGATAATTACATGTGTGAAGGGAAGCTCTCTACGTGAGGCTGTCTTGGCCTCCCAGCATTAGCAATGGCAGCTTTGCCAAGGCAATGGTGGGATTGGTGCACAGGGAAGGAAGTTGTAACACTATATATGTGAATTGCAATACTCATATCGTTGGACTCAAAAGCAAGAAGAGCTTTGGAGCTGAGGATGGTCTCCTTGCAGATGGTGAACCATACCGTGTGAAGGTGGGCTTCTTTCGGATCTGGAGTTTCGACTGGCTGCGGTGCCAGGGAGGTTGGACGCCCACGCACAGCGTCACGCTGGAAGCAGGCCGTAGGGGCTCACCTGGATTTTAAGACCCTTATGTGGGGGAAGTGATTGAGCTGTTGAAGTGATTAAGCTGCTAAGCCGTTCGGGCAAGCGGTTAGTTTGTTAGGATATTAGACTTAGAGAAAGCAATTAAGCCAAAAGCCTTAATTATATATATATAAGTCGTTAAGGAAGACGCGCGATTACGCTGTCAAGTTGCTAGGACAAGCAACTAAGACATTAGACCGATATTCTGTAGCACCCTTTGAAACACAAGAGCTTGAGTTCGATGCAGAACTGTGAGA